ACTGGTTCTCCATATTGGCAGATATGCCGTGCTAACGCACTGTCTGCACGTACACCTGCTTCTGCCATAATTGTTGCTTGTCTCTGAGTTCTTCTTTTATCGCTTCTTTGGCAGCGTTTCGCAAGAGCGGACGTAAGGCTTTGGTTGCCTGTAGCTCGTGCGATTTCACGTTGACGTATCAGCTAGGGTGTCTTCGGAGAAAAGAGTCTTTTCGTGACTTTAGGACTCTCGGATTTGACACGCCGTGAAAGTTTGACTTCATAACGAGGAAAATTTCACTGTGAAGTTGAAACGATGGACTTATAAAGCGAAATATAATCTTTATTTTGTTAGTATTAATCAAGACGTAAACCCTGTTGCAGAACCAAGTCTTGTACTGAGATATCCACTTTCCAAGCTGTTGAATGACTACTGATCGTTTAGAGAAGAAGCTTTGTTCAGCAAAAAAGGTAGGAAACATGAGCATGTTTCAGAGAGCAACTGCATTCCACTCAGCGCGCATGAAAAGTGGAAATTTTTAGAGTAACTGCGAGTTCTTTTTACAAAAAAATACGCTCGCAGAAGGCTTTTCAGTATATTCAACTTTCTCTTGCCGACTAATTTGAATAGAATCGAAATTTCACTATACTGGATCAAAAAATCCGCTGCGAAGATGAAAGTACTGACTCATGGAGCGAAACATAATGTTCTTTTCGTTAGCAGAATGAGAACAAGATGGACTCCAGAATCCAAGCTCAATATTAATATTCGCATTTGTCATGCTATTGAATGGCTATGAAGAAATATACGAAGCAAGAAAAAATTTTACATAGCAGCTGGAAATACGTTCTCTTATTGGAAGAGTCTAACTTTTATCATGAAAGAGTGGAAAACATGCAACACACGGGCGTTTTCTATACTGAAGGAAGCTTTCCATAAAAGTCCTTTTTCTGATTTTCCATAATTTAGAAAGTATTTCCTCTTCACAACATCAATTTATTCAGTAAAATACCTGATTTCCGCTGCGATGTGCTCCAGTGCGAACTAGTTGCAGCGCGCGCCGTGAAAAGCATGCCTTAATTTTGGCCAACACCTAGTCGAGGAGATAGAATGAGAAGGATCGGTGTTCGACTACTGAGAATCAAAGGCCTTAGCAAACGTGTATCATTAGAAACGCCGTCCCTCCGACAGAACGATAAGGATTAGCAATCGACTATCAAGAACCAAAAGTGTTCTCCCCGGCCGGGAATTGAACCCGGGTCTCGCATGTGACAGACGCGGATACTAACCACTATACTACCGAGGACGTGAAAATAAGTCAGGCCTTAGCAAACGTGTATTAATAGAAACGCCGTCCCTCAGATAGAACGATAAGGATTAGCAATCGACTATCAAGAACCAAAAGTGTTCTCCACGGCCGGGAATTGAACCCGGCTCTCGCATGTGACAGACGCGGATACTAACGACCATACTACCGAGGACGTGAAAATAAGTCAGGCCTTAGCAAACGTGTATCATTAGAAAAGCCGTCCCTCAGATAGAACGATAAGGATTAGCAATCGACTATCAAGAACCAAAAGTGTTCTCCACGGCCGGGAATTGAACCCGGCTCTCGCATGTGACAGACGCGGATACTAACGACCATACTACCGAGGACGTGAAAATAAGTCAGGCCTTAGCAAACGTGTATCAATAGAAACGCCGTCCCTCAGATAGAACGATAAGGATTAGCAATCGACTATCAAGAACCAAAAGTGTTCTCCACGGCCGGGAATTGAACCCGGCTCTCGCATGTGACAGACGCGGATACTAACGACCATACTACCGAGGACGTGAAAAAAAGTCAGGCCTTAGCAAGCGTGTATCATAAGAAAAGCCGTCCCTCAGATAGAACGATAAGGATTAGCAATCGACTATCAAGAACCAAAGTGTTCTCCACGGCCGGGAATTGAACCCGGCTCTCGCATGTGACAGACGCGGGTACTAACGACTATACTACCGAGGACGTGAAAATAAGTCAGGCCTTAGCAAACGTGTATCATTAAAAAAGCCGTCGCTCAGATAGAACGATAAGGATTAGCAATCGACTATCAAGAACCAAAAGTGTTTTCCACGGCCGGGAATTGAACCCGGCTCTCGCATGTGACAGACGCGGATACTAACGACTGTACTACCGAGAGACGTGAAAAAAAGTCAGGCCTTAGCAAGCGTGTATCATTAGAAAAGCCGTCCCTCAGATAGAACGATAAGGATTAGCAATCGACTATCAAGAACCAAAAGTGTTCTCCACGGCCGGGAATTGAACCCGGCTCTCGCATGTGACAGACGCGGATACTAACGACCATACTACCGAGGACGTGAAAATAAGTCAGGCCTTAGCAAACGTGTATCAATAGAAACGCCGTCCCTCAGATAGAACGATAAGGATTAGCAATCGACTATCAAGAACCAAAAGTGTTCTCCACGGCCGGGAATTGAACCCGGCTCTCGCATGTGACAGACGCGGATACTAACGACCATACTACCGAGGACGTGAAAATAAGTCAGGCCTTAGCAAACGTGTATCAATAGAAACGCCGTCCCTCAGATAGAACGATAAGGATTAGCAATCGACTATCAAGAACCAAAAGTGTTCTCCACGGCCGGGAATTGAACCCGGCTCTCGCATGTGACAGACGCGGATACTAACGACCATACTACCGAGGACGTGAAAATAAGTCAGGCCTTAGCAAACGTGTATCAATAGAAACGCCGTCCCTCAGATAGAACGATAAGGATTAGCAATCGACTATCAAGAACCAAAAGTGTTCTCCACGGCCGGGAATTGAACCCGGCTCTCGCATGTGACAGACGCGGATACTAACGACCATACTACCGAGGACGTGAAAAAAAGTCAGGCCTTAGCAAGCGTGTATCATAAGAAAAGCCGTCCCTCAGATAGAACGATAAGGATTAGCAATCGACTATCAAGAACCAAAGTGTTCTCCACGGCCGGGAATTGAACCCGGCTCTCGCATGTGACAGACGCGGGTACTAACGACTATACTACCGAGGACGTGAAAATAAGTCAGGCCTTAGCAAACGTGTATCATTAAAAAAGCCGTCGCTCAGATAGAACGATAAGGATTAGCAATCGACTATCAAGAACCAAAAGTGTTTTCCACGGCCGGGAATTGAACCCGGCTCTCGCATGTGACAGACGCGGATACTAACGACTGTACTACCGAAGACGTGAAAAAAAGTCAGGCCTTAGCAAGCGTGTATCATTAGAAAAGCCGTCCCTCAGATAGAACGATAAGGATTAGCAATCGACTATCAAGAACCAAAAGTGTTCTCCACGGCCGGGAATTGAACCCGGCTCTCGCATGTGACAGACGCGGATACTAACGACCATACTACCGAGGACGTGAAAATAAGTCAGGCCTTAGCAAACGTGTATCAATAGAAACGCCGTCCCTCAGATAGAACGATAAGGATTAGCAATCGACTATCAAGAACCAAAAGTGTTCTCCACGGCCGGGAATTGAACCCGGCTCTCGCATGTGACAGACGCGGATACTAACGACCATACTACCGAGGACGTGAAAATAAGTCAGGCCTTAGCAAACGTGTATCAATAGAAACGCCGTCCCTCAGATAGAACGATAAGGATTAGCAATCGACTATCAAGAACCAAAAGTGTTCTCCACGGCCGGGAATTGAACCCGGCTCTCGCATGTGACAGACGCGGATACTAACGACCATACTATCGAGGACGTGAAAAAAAGTCAGGCCTTAGCAAGCGTGTATCATAAGAAAAGCCGTCCCTCAGATAGAACGATAAGGATTAGCAATCGACTATCAAGAACCAAAGTGTTCTCCACGGCCGGGAATTGAACCCGGCTCTCGCATGTGACAGACGCGGATACTAACGACCATACTACCGAGGACGTGAAAATAAGTCAGGCCTTAGCAAACGTGTATCAATAGAAACGCCGTCCCTCAGATAGAACGATAAGGATTAGCAATCGACTATCAAGAACCAAAAGTGTTCTCCACGGCCGGGAATTGAACCCGGCTCTCGCATGTGACAGACGCGGATACTAACGACTATACTACCGAGGACGTGAAAATAAGTCAGGCCTTAGCAAGCGTGTATCAATAGAAACGCCGTCCCTCAGACAGAACGATAAGGATTAGCAATCGACTATCAAGAACCAAAAGTGTTCTCCACGGCCGGGAATTGAACCCGGCTCTCGCATGTAAGAGACGCGGATACTAACCACTATACTACCGATTACCGGAAGATAAGGCATGCCTTAGGAAACATATATCATTGGAAACGCCGTCCCTCAGATAGAACGATAAGGATTAGCAATCGACTATCAGGATCCAAAAGTGGTCTCCCCCGCAGGGAATTGAACCCGGGTCTCGCATGTGACAGACGCGGATACTAACCACTATACTACCGAGGACCGAAGAACATGTGTTCGTTGGCAAATGAGCGTAATTACTAACGCCGTTTAGCAAGGAAAATGAAAAGGATTGGTGTTCGGCTATTCAAAACATTCTCCTCGCTCAGAAATCGAACCCGGATCTTGCATGTGGCGGACACAATTATTAATCATCCCTCTACAGTTGACCATGTCTCAGTGAATGCTTCGGGAAGACTACAGCGCCGCAAATGCCGTCTAACAGGGGGAATGGGAAGTGTGCATAAATGTCGGCTGTCGAAAATACTGTGCTCACTCAGGATCTGACTCTGGGTCTCCTACGTGACAGCTTCGAAAAAAGTCAGGCATGCCTTCCATTGTGAATACGACCTCAACGAGTGAAACGACAAGACTGCTAATTGTCAGCAATGAGAGTCTACCTTGGGAAGTCATAGCCTATAAACCGAAAGGCGATGGAACTGGCTCCTTAATTTTTAATTGTGATCAATGGTGTTTTGGAGATATTAAGTCAAGATACTGCCACAGCCCTTTCTATCCGTTCGCGACTCCAGTTTGCTCGACTTCAATTTAGAAAATGAAAAAAATCGTGCCTGCTCTCCAATTAGCCATGTTCCTAGAGGTCCTCAGGATGGATGCAATGCTACAGATAGTTCCTATCACTTTTTTTGATCTATATCACAGTTTTTTCACTCTGCGGGTCCCAGTCCTAATATTCTACATCGCTTGAATGAGGATCTGTCATTTTTTTGGACGTCGTAGAATACTGGCCGGGTCTGAATGTGGAATTCCGAATCTGCAAATCAGTTTCATAGGTGAATGCTCTTATGCTCGAAGCAGCATATCACTTTTTTATAAACTAAATCAATTGGTCAGCCACTGTCCATAATTTCTATGATAATTATACATTTATTTCGAGTGCTTTGTTTAGACCACGCCCAAATTGCAATAGAGCCTTTCATTATTATTTGAGGCAACTTGTCATGTGGTCTGGTAAGGGCTCTTGTACAGCCCGATACACATGTTTCGTCCTTACAGACTCGTCAACCGAGCAGAACCCGTCGTCTTTCAAGTTGGCTCAAATAATAATTGAAGGATGTTTTGAAATTTGAGCGTGGTCTAAACAAAGCACTCGAAATAAAGGTATAATTATGATATGATATATACGAGGAAAACGGAAGAAAAATCACCGGCTTGAAAAACTCAGGGGCACTCTCATGCATATCTACATAAATAGTTAAGCCTACACAAAGTAGAATCATATTCATGCGACAAACGGTTCAATGTTCTCTTCTTCTTCGGGGCCAATGATTCGAGACGATGTCAACAATCGTTCGTTCTCGCTGCAATCTTCAACTTTGTTCAGCACTTGAATTTAGCACAGGAAACAGCTTTTTTCAATAACTGTGAGGCTGTAGTTTATCATGATAAGTTCGGAGAAAAAAGCAGATCCTTGAACATCAAGTACAGCGACAATAGTGTCCCATTCAGATAAAGCGGTTGAACAGTGATAAGCTTGCAAGAATCAGTAGCACTATTTGAAACGATCGATGACTACTTGAACGCCGGCTAATTTGTAACTGCCTGTACGAATATCTATGCTTCACGAAAGAACTGCATAATATCTTCCAACATATGAGTGCATGTGGCGCAGTGATTAGAGGTGCACGAGGTCGATGATTCGATCTCGCACTCATGGCTCACTAAGCCATTCATCCCTCCTGGGTCGGTAAATTGGTACCAGACTGGTCTCAGACTTCTCCGGGAGGATAAGCAGCGCTGAGTCGGTACAGCGGGAAGTCACCGCGAGTCATTGTAAAGGCCAGATATGCATTCAATCACCTCAAATGGAGTCAAAATTGAGGATGAATGCACGGTGCATTCCTTAAGGATTGATCTATGGCGAGAGCTTTCTATCTTGTTACGTGCCAGAGGGTAGTTGCATGGGCTTAGGTACCATTTTTGAAGTGTTTGAGGGACGACTACATTGACAAAACAAGAAGGGTATGCTGTGTTTTGTGTAAAAGAGCAGCCAGCAGCTTAGTTCAGAATTAAACCAAACAGCCCACTGAGGCGCATAGGACACCGGGCCATGACGAGAAAGATTTGAAGTAAAAGCAACCACCCATATGCGGAAAATCCGGAAATGAAGGGCAACGCAAGCGTCTTTTTTTACACGTGATATCGTGTCATATCACTCTTCGAAATCTTGATCTAAGTTAGACAAATACCTCACCAATGTAGGACTCGGAGCGGTTGATCGACATCGGCGAGTCTTCATCAGATGCTGTTTACGCGCGAACAAACACTTATGTGTCGAATTCTGTTGCTCCAGCTATGGTAGTCTCTGACTATGAGACTGCACTTCAACCTGACTTCAGGCGACTTGAAGGAGGCGACGTCGGCGAAAAGTCAACCATTGTTACTATTCTGAATAAAGTCGTACTATTGACAACCTCGTGACCGCTCATCAAGGAGAATCAAGGAAAACTCAGTAAGTGCCAAGGTTATTTGATTTTTGCTTCTTGCGAACTACACAATTTTGAGTGTGGATGCTATAATGCTTTGATCTTTCCAACCTTCTTTGCCAGAGTTACTATTATTCTTTCTTTAAAAAAATTCTGGAGAAAACAAACATAGCATTATCCAGTAATACTAGGTCATATGCAAAACTCCAGTTCTCAGACGGAAATGGAATGGGATTTTCGTCGTTGCATGCTGACCAATTGCTCCAGCAGGGCTCCAGTTCTTTCGTCACTCTTTGTACGATGAAGCTTAGAAACCACATTGTTTGGAGTGCGTTTAAGACGCTTTAAACAACACATAGGCTGTCCCTAAAACAATTAGAAGTGATCGTAGTCATGATTTTGTCCCGTTTTAACAGAAACCACGAAGCAATGATAATGATTCAAAACATTGTTGCTATAATTTAGTTTGATTGATGCACATATCTTTTTTTGTGAAGCGATACATAATAGGAATATCACCATACTTCTTAACAGAACGTCAGGAAAGTCCGCAGTTCAAAGTTCTTGTTTTTCTGCTTTTCTCGTACATTTGATAAAGAGCGACTTTCAGCAGCAAAATGCTGACAGGGTATAGGAGGAAGCAATGAAAAAATCTGTAAATGTCAGAAGGACTCTTGGAGCCTGGAAGTTTTGGGATGGTCGTGAAATGAGTATGAAAATGGCAGATTTTTTTTGAAACTGGACGAGGTGAAAGCTTAAATTTGCAACGGGTTCGTCAAAAAAAGTCCAGATTCTGATTACAGGACATATAGACTCCCTCATAAGCGATATTTCTGAGGTTCTTGCTCAGAAGGCTAATCAAAATTGCTTAAAGAAGATGCACCGTAAGACAATTGAAATGATAACTCAATGTTCAGGTATGTTTACTGAAAGATTTTTTAACTGCGCATGTCTCAGTATTTCGAATGCCATGTAGTGCGCTAGTTTTACTCTCACTAAGGCGTAACGAAAGGGACGCACGCGTGGATAGCTGCGCCGTTCACACGGTACACAGAGATTGGTGCTTCTGATAAAAACTCAAATATATCTTGGTCATTGTACAGGATAATTGAGCGCTTGCGGCACAGTCAAAAATCATCGATCTACAATACACAAAATGTTCATCCGATTTAAACCACGAATGCAGCAACCATGAAAACTGCACCAATTATGATGACTACAGCCCTCTAGTAAGCCTCAGCAGAACTACTCTAACTCGTGTATGCTTCTCGATAAGCGGATGTGCAGTTGCAAGTTCAATTAAGTTAGTTTAATAAAGTCAATAGCAGTGGTCAAAAGTCGGCTTTTTCGTTTTCTTCGGAGCCTGGAAGATTGAATTGTCGCGCCATTTACTCAGTCAAACACTTTCTTAACCAAAGAAGGTTGATTAGTACGCATATTTTTTATAGCATCGCGAGCAGCTATTTGGATTACTAACGTACAAACCGTTACAAAAAACGGGGAGAGCACGCTGTGTTTTTTATAAAAGAGCACCTTTCTGGTGAACACAAAATTCATTCAAAACCCCATTAAGGACGCATAGGACATCAAGGCATAGCTGGAAATATTTGAAGTAAAAGCAATCATCCTTGCGCAGGATCTCAAGACTCCAATGCCTAAAACTCTTATCGCTTCGAATTTAAGCGAGAAATCCCAAAATGAATCAACGAGGCTGACTGACTTGTTATCACACGTGATATCGTGTCATGTCACATCTTGAATTCTTGATTTGAGTTAGACACATGCCTCACCTATGTAAGACTCCGCGGGCTGATCCACATAGTAACGGAAATAGTTTTCCATGTGTTATGTATCAAATTTCATTGCTCCAGTTCTGAAATTGTTTGGCCAAGTAGACTGTACTTCAGTATCACTTAAGGCTCTAAAGGAAGTCCAGCCATCTAAACTTCATCATTGTTATAGTGCTGAGTAAATCGTACTACTGACAACCTCATGACCGCTCATGCAGGAGAATTAGGATTTACTTGATTAGTGCTAAAGTTATTAGATTATCGTTTCTAACAGTAACCTAATTTTGAGTGTGCACGTACAGCTATATTATTTTGGGCTGTTCATCTTTTTTTGCTAAAATTTTGTATTATTTTATGACTTAAAGGTTGATGATGAGAAAAACAAAATTAGCATTACCCTTAAGCGCTGAATGATATGTAAAGCCCAAGTCTCAGACAGAACCGAACACGGTTCTCGCCGGTGCCTGCTCGGAAATTGCCATATTGGGGCTCTGTATTTTTGTCAGTTTTTGCGATATGAATTAAAAATAGCTTTTCTCCTTGCGCGTTCTAAACGCTTCGAAAATCATTCAGGAAGTCCCTCAAGCAATGGTCGC